GGCCGTGGGGGGTGCACTGGCCGGTCCCCTAGGCCGAGCACCGAGGCCACCAGAGGGACAGGCAGCTGTTGGGGGGCCGTGGGGGGTGCACTGGACTGCCCCACAGGTAGTATCCCAGGCCAAGCATTGAAGCCACTCCGCCCCCCCCACCTTGTCTCAACATGCAGACCTCCTCACCCACAACCACCAGCCCTTACCTGGGGCTCCCCGAACAGGGCCAGGACCTTCCCCAGGTCGTGCAGGAGCCCAACAAGGTGGAACCAGTCTGGGAGGGGGATGGACAGGGTAGGTTGGGGACTGCAGGGGCCAAGGCAGAGGATTAGCAGGCTTGCGGGGCTGAGAGCCAGGGGGGGCCCAGGGCCTGCTCCTCAACCCAGGCAGGGCTGCTGGAGGCCTGGGCCCACCACTGCCCCCTTCCACCCTATAGGCTGCTGCATTCTGCCCCTTGGAGGCAGCACCTGCCCCCCTGCAGCAGAGCTGGGGCTCACCCTTGTCTGGGTGGGCCTTCCGGATGCCCTCCGCTGTCTGGAAGGCATGGAAGGAGTTGGGGAAATCTACATCTGGGTCCGACTCGTCCACCAGCCCATCCAGCAGGTCCACAGCCTCCATGACTGTCATTTTCTTGTAGGAGAAGCCCCCAAACTGGGCATGCTGGTGGGGAAGGAGAAGGCAGCGTGGCCCAGGGTCAGCAGGCCCACCGCACAGTCCTCTCCATCCTCTCGGTGCCTGGTGGGCTCATGGGGTTGAGGGCAAGGGTCCTCCGCGTTTGCACAGGGCGGCGGGAAACGCCTACCTTGCTCCTGACGAAGTCCACCGTCTGGTGCGTGTGCATGAGCTTGTAGGTGGTGAAGACACGGTCCAGGAGGGGACCCGACTGCAGGCCGGAGGGTCAGTGGAGGCTGGCACTACCCCCACCCTGCACACAAGGCACCGTGCCTCCCCTCTCCCAGGCAGCCCCACAGGGTATGATGGGGGTGAGGGTTCCCACAGGGCACCTCCTGGAGCTGTGTGAGGGGCAGGTGCTGCTCCCCAGGGTGTGGATGGGGGGTCGGGGGGCGGGACGTCAAGGTACTCACTGTGTAGTTCCGGAAGCTGGCCTTGTCTTTGGCCACCTCTGGGTCCACATCAGGTCGGTAGACCAGGGAAGGGTCTGGGCCCTGGGCAGGTGGAGGATTGAACCTATTTCACCATCATGTCAGCTCCACGAGGAAGCAGACATTCCCCGCGTGGCTGCAGACTCCAAGCCTGCCTCCGCTCGAGAGCTGGTGGGGGACACAAGAGGGCACAGCCTCTCCTGCACCATCATCCCGGCCCCTGCCCTGGCCTCAGCGAGTCCCAGGAACTCTCACTCCCAGGTCCTTATCTGCAAAGTGAATGTCAGCAGACGTCTGCTTCCGGGGTGCAGGGGGCACCACGCCTGAGCGGCACCCATGGCCACCCTTGCGGGGTGGAAGCGGCCTTGGGAGGAGACTGAGTCCTCAGGGAGCCTGGGGGTCGGCAGCCACTGGCTCTTCCCCAGCTGGACGGAGCAGCAGGGCTGGCCAGCGCCAGCTAGAAGAGGGCAGGAGCAGCTGGCCAGCAGGAGAGCAGTCAGCGGGGCCTCTCTGCATGGGGTCTGGGTACTCACCACCGTCACCTTCATCCTGAGAGGAAGCGGCGCTCAGGTGGCAAAGTGCAGGCTGGTGAGTGTGTCCTCAGCCAGGCTCCTATATACACCCCAGGTTACATAAGTGACTGTGGTAATGAGTGACCATCCACCCTCCTCCTGGCCTCAGGGAGTTAATGTGTCAGCACACGAGCAGCCCCCAGCAGTCCCACATCCTCTTGCCCTGACTCGGCCTCCCTCCTGTCCTGAGCCGCTGACCTGCTTAGGGTTGTCTGTGGGCCCAGCCTCCTGCTTGACTCTGGCTTTAGACCCCTCTGTGGGGTCCCACAAGTAGGGGCAGACCCAAGACCCCACCCTCAAGCACACACCTCCTCTGCACCACCCCTGCCCGGCTGCCCCACTGGATCTCAGGAGGAGAAAACTTGCCCCAGGCCCCTCATGATTCTAGGTGGGGCAGGGGCTCGTTAAGAAAAGATGATTCTGAGGACTTGTTAAAATGGTGAGAAGAGCTTTATTCGAGAGCGTGGTGAGAGGAGCTCACCTCCGAATTCAATGACAGCTGGAGATTGATGGCGTCGGAGGGGTCGGCGGATGGGAAGTTGCTAGGGGAGCCTTTGAGGGTAGGGGATTCTCACCAGAGCGGCTCAACGGGGCTCTTGCAGGAGGCCGGCAGGGTGACGAGATCACGGGTGGGAGATGAGGAACTGGATCAGATATCAAGGGTGGGTAATCCTCCATAAACTGATTTACCAGGATTCTTGCTAACATCGGGGTCGGTGGGCCCAGAGAGGATGGGGATGAGGTCAAGCCTCGTCGAGGAAAGGACTCAGGAGCACCTGCCTAGAGTTCGGCCACAGAATGTGTCAGGCTCTGGGAGAGGGGCCTCATGGAGAGTGGGGAGCAGAAATGGAATCGCCAGCACCCGGGCTGCCAATGCAACTTCCCATGCATGGGCCCTGCAGGCACGGAGGACACTGGGAGAACAAAGTGCCCACAGCAGAGCTGGCATCTTGGAGCGTGGCCAGGGAAGAGTCTGGGAACAGCAGTCAGCTGGGGCAGGGGAGAGGGCAGTGGTTTGCTGGGGCCATACCTAGGGCTGTGCAGATCACAGTTCTGGGCTTCAGGTGTCAGGTGAGGGCTGTGGGGAGCTGACCTGACTCAAGAAGATTCTGGCACAGCTGAGCTGAAAAGGAGCTGTGAGGAGACCCCAGCGCCCCCCATTTAAATGGCACCTGCCCCGCACTCTCCTTGTCTGACTTCCCGTGGCACTCAGCACTCCCTGCCACTCCACCACCCACTTACTCTACCTTCTATGTTTGTCTCCTTCTGTCTCCCCCTAGAACGTCAGCCCCCGGGGGCAAGGCTGTATCCTCAAGTGTCCCAACAAGCGTGGGTCACGTGCTCAGCATGCACTGGCCAGAGGGATGGAGACAGGCACGGGGAGGAGGCTACGGCCATTGCCCCCACAGCAGGTGGTGCCTGGGTCAGGAGAAGGTGTCTGGATAGGTTCAGGAAGTGGGACCAGGCGGGATTCATAGGAAGGTGCAAGGGAAGAGAGGGGGTTTTTTGTTTTTGTTTTTATTGAAACAGAGTCTTGCTCTGTCGTCCAGGCTTGAGTGCAGCAGTGTAATCTCAGCTCACTGCAACCTCCACCTCCCGGGCTCAGACAAGTCTCCTGCGTCAGCCCCTGAGCAGATGTGATTACTAGCGTGTGCCACCACGCCCAGCTAATTTTTGTATTATTACTATTTTTTTTTTTTTTTTTGGAGACAGAACTTTGCTCTTGTTACCCAGGCTGGAGTGCAGTGGCACAATCTCAGCTCACTGCAACCTCCAGGTTCAAGTGATCCTCCTGCCTCAGCCTCCTGAGTAGCTGGGATTACAGTCATGTGCCACCGTGCCTGATAAATTTTGTATTTTTTATTTAATATTTTAATATTGTATATTTTATTGTATTTGTATTTAATTTTGTAATTTTTGTATTTTTAGTAGAGACGGGGTTTCACCATGTTGGCCAGGCTGGTCTTGAACTCCTGACCTCAGGTGATCTGCCTGACTTGGCCTCCCAAAGTGCTGGGATTACAGGCGTGAGCCACCGGGCCCAGCCTAGAGGAAGTTTTGGCCACAGCAGCAGGAAGTGGTTGCTGGCGAAGGTGGGGGTGAGTGCAGGTGCTGCTGGGCCTGTGCGTGAGGGTGTCAGGTGGGTCTGGCTTCACACCTGAGGCGATGCAGAGGGTCACGGAAGGCGGCCTCCTGACTACAGGGCATGAGGAGGGTGAAGGCTTTCCTGGAGGAGGGAACACTTGGCCCTGACCACAGGCAGGCCCCAGACGGGGTGCCAAGCTGGACTTTGCCTAGGCAGGAGAGGAGGCATCTGGGAGGGTTTTGGCTGGGTTGAGTAGCGGACACTGAGCTCCTGACCCCCCAGCCTTGCCCCGGGGTCCCCTCCCTCTGTCCTCATGCCCTGTGCTCTGCTGACACCCTTCAGTGACCACAGGACACATGACTCAGAGGCCTAGGGCCCTCCACCCTGCAGCCTCTCAGCAGCCAAGCCTCCTGTGCCCCTGGGGACTTGGCACTCCCAGCTCCTTCCCCTAGGGAAGGCCTGCTGTCCTCAGACCTCACTGATCCAGTGCTTCTCCCAGGGAGCCGGCCTTGACTGCCTTGCTGTGCGGCCCACCACCCTGACCACCTCTGCTGCAACCCTAGTCCATCTCCCAGTGCACGGAGGCCTCCACAGGGCAGGATCAGCCTGGACTGTTCCCACAGGGCCTCGTGGAGCACAGGTCAGTTACCTGGACCCGGCGATCCCTGAGCTCAGGGAGCAAGCACAGAGGCAGCGCCTGGGTGGGCGCTTCCAGGACCCTCCCCTTTGGAGGTAGTCACTGAGGGGCAGGCTGTGGGGAAATGTCCTGAGCTCTGCTGTAGCCTCTAGAGTTGGGGTGATCATGGCGACCCTCATGGGGTGGCTGAGAGGGTGACCCTAGCAAACATTTGCAAATTAAATGCTGAGTGTTTGCTAAGTAGCGGAAGGAACCCTTTCTGAACCTCACGTTCTGCTGGACGACTGGGAGCCTCGGGCGGCACACGCACATGAGCCCCCCATCTCCCCGGGGAAGAACACACACCAAGTCCGTGCACACTGGCAGTGGTTCTTGTTCTTGTCATTTGGGGCTGGGCAGCCCTCCCGGGCTCTTGGCGAGTCACCTGCTGCCCCCACACCTGGTTCCACTGGGCTCCCACACTGGGTGGTGGTGGGGCGCCTGGGTTGCCTGTGGAGCCCCACCCTTGTCTGGCTGCCAACAAGGGTCTCACCCCCTTGAGGTGGGGTGGGTCTATTTGGGCTGGGGGATCTTGCCCCACCCAGCCCTGCCCTGTCCTGGGGTAGGAAGGGGTGTCCCTGTCCCAGAATGGTTTGGGGTGGCTTCTGAACTGCTGAGTTCCCCTCCCTGGCCTCCCACAGGGCATCCAGATGGAGTCCCCATGGCTACCTCAGTCTGGGCTCCAGGGTTGGCAGCTGGAGCCACAGAGGTCCCTTCATGACCTCTGGAGGGCCACCATCCTTCCCTTGCCCAACCCCAGGGGGCTATAGCATCCCACACTCCCTGTCCTGTCCCAAAGGCATGGGGAGGGAGAGGCTGGGACCCCCGGCCAGGCAGGCACGTGGAAGGGCTGGTTGTGCACGACAGCAGGAACAGCCCAGGCACAAGGCCGGGCTTTAGTCTGACTGGACCAGCAGCGGAGGGGCCGCTTCCGGCCGATTCAGCCCCTCTCCCCTGCTCGTCCAGACGTGGCCCTGTGGGTTCAGGGCCCAGCTTCTGCTCCACGTCCCTGGCAGATGCCTCCTTTTTAAAACGCTTTTTAGCATCTGGTGCTGCCACCAGCTGGGTCTGGCAGCCATCCCCCAAGGGTTTACAATTTCAGGGTGTTTAGGCTCCTTGACGTACCAGCACTGCATATAGACCAACCTCGGTCTACAGGTGTGCGAGGGTTTACGTGTGCGACGCTGTGCAGGCATTGTTGCCGCAGGACCTGCTGTCTGCAGCTCCACGGGACTGGGCTGCGGAGGGGGCTCAGCTGCAGCTCTGGACGGGGGCACAGCACCCTGGCTGGGATGGGCAGGGGTGTGGCCCAGCCCCACTTCAGCCATAGCTGTGGGGGCTGCTGGGGTCCACAGGAGCTGAGTCCTGCCGGCCGGCCGGTCCCATGAGTTGCCACAGGCGGTGGCTGAGATTCTGCACCTGACAGGTGCCCAGCACGCAGCCCACTCGCAGGAGCTGGGCGTGGGTCCTGCGGGAGCCGGAGTGTCTTCGGGGGCCCGAGTGTTGGCGGCCACCATCCCGGAGAGGCTGACCCATAGCAGGAGCCAGGCCAGCACCCCTCTGTGGCTGGAGGGCCTGGTGAAGCTTCCAAACCACAGGTCGGGGTGCGGGGTGCCTGGGCTGCAGGTTGCTGGAAGGGGTCCGGGCTGGGGGCTCCCTGCAGAGGCAGATGGAGAATGTCAACTGGATGGCTCAGCCTTTCAGAGACCTCACACCTACCCACTTTTGCCTCTACACAGGCCTGGGTCACTGCCAGGGGAAGCCCACGGCCCCCACCCACACACAGCCTGGAGCATGGCCAGGGGAAGCCCACGCGTCCCCTCTGGGCTTGGGGCCTGGGACCATCTCAGTGGCCCGGGTCACGTGTCCTGGGAACCGGCACCTCCTTGAGCAAAGGGCACCCCCGCGGCCCAGCCTCTGCGGGTCACCACTCTCAGGGCTCAGGGTGACTCAGCTCCTGCCCTCCCTTTGGTCACAGGTGGGCCTGGGGATACCGCCAGCCTTCCCTCCCCCAGCAGACACCCCCAGAAAAGGGGCTGCTGTGTCCACGTGTGTGGGGAGAAGCAACTGCCCTGTGCAGGGAGGCAGAGGAAGAGGGTCCTCTGGCCCTGCTCAGGCGCTGCTGAGCCTGGGGCAGGGGCCTTGGTTTGGGACGGGAGCCCTAGCAGCAGTTGGCGGTTGGAGGGAGGGCGGCCCCCGACACTCTGCTTCCCTGTGGGGGCCAGGGGCTGGCTGGCCCAAGGCCTGGACTCACCTGGGTTTGACGGGACGCGGGTCCCCGCCCAGGCTGCGGGACAGCACGCCAGGGAGCTGCAGGCAGAGGAGGCTGATGCAACCCAGGGCGGCCGTCGGGAT